GACTGCTCTGAGGTGATAGAGAGTACAGGCTCAGCCGATGCCAGTTTCAGTGTATGGTCATGTGGAGTAAGATGCTAGCTGCATCATTGGGAAGAAACCGCTACAGGAACACAAGCAAGGTTATGAGCCCACAGTTCCTACCAGAATAGTTTAAATAGCAAAGCAATTTAAGACACAGCATTAAATGTTCCCCACAACCCTTATTGTACCATTAAAGTAACATTATAGGGTCAAGAACACAAACGTATTTCTGACCCTATAGTGTTAAAAACACAATCTAGCCCACCTGGCTTCCCCTAAATATAGTAAAATCTTACTTGTATTCCAGTCTGTTGCTGCTGGCTCTTCCCCTAATCTGCCTGCTTGACATCATCAGAAGTGCTTTCCCATTTGACTGTCAAGGAGGCAGATTAGGGGCAGAGCCAGCACAAGCCAAACACAGCCCTAGCCAATCAGCATCTCCTACATTGAATCAATGCACCTCTATGAGGAAAGTTCAGTGTCTCTATGAAGAGGGTGGAGACACTGAATGGTAGTAACACCTCAAGTAGTCATTTGAGGATTGGCCAGTGGAGGTATTCCTATACTGTAATATAAACACTGCATTTTCTCTATAAAGTGACTATAGTGTCCCTTTAAAGCATGACATTTTCATTCATATACGATTGTTAGATTCAAGGCCCACAGATACACAACAAACAATAAAATTTATTTATTTATAAAATATTTTATGAGGAAAGATACATTGAGATTTCTCTTGTTTTTAAGTATGTCCTGGGTCCACAAAACATTGCATTGATACAATAGGGTATAATAAAACACAAAAACAATATTCATACACAATATACACAGAATTAAACATAGAACAGGTAGGAGACAGGTGCATTCTGTTTTGAGATATGTAGAGAGGGATCTCTTAAAGGATTTTAGGCTTGGGGAAGATTTGAAAGTGTTAGGGAGGTCGTTACATAATTGCGGTACTCTGTAGGAAAAGGAGGATCTGGGCTGCTTTCTTTTTGTTTTGAGTTAGACTAAATAAAGTGCTGGTACTGGATCGGAGGTTATAGGAGGTGGGAACAGCTGGGGAGAGCATTCTGCTCAGGTAGGGTGGGAGCTTCCCAGAAAAGCTCTTAAACACAAGGCTGCATCTGGATTCCAGCGACAGCCAGTTTAGTTCTTTTAGCATGTCACAATGGTGGGTCATGCAATTGCATTGTGGAGTGTTTTTTTTCTCCATGTGCTCCACCTTGAATAATCTTCCAGTGTCCTTCTCATAAAGGGTTCCTGTTCTGCCCCTGACACAGTGTAACTTGCCACAATTGCTAGTATAGACTTCAGATCAAGTGTTCATTCCATGACTGTATGACAGATGTATTCAGAAGCCCATTACCTGTTAAAATTGAAAAGCTTTAAATTCTCATCTTGAATATTAATCCCTGATAAATTATCTTACTTTATAGGGTTACTCCAACCAAAAACTAGTGTTTTCATTATACTCTGATTTTGGTGGTAGTAACCCCTTCTGTGCTGGTCAACTCTCCCCACCCCCATAAAAGGCTCACCTCCTTTGTCTTGCTGACATAACTGCCCCTTATTTGAGGTGGAAGGGCTAAGGGGAGGACAGGTTTGACATTAAGCGAGGGTGTGCTTCATTGGTTGTCTGGCACTAGCATGCTGTGCGTGATGGTGTCAGTGGCCAACTTTGCACAGAAATGACATTAGCCAGCCTGGAACTTTGTTATAGGCTAGCTAATGACACTGTCGGAGATGAAGTTACACCTCTGGCAGTGAAGGAATTAATCTCTGTATGTGCAGTGTTTCAAAAAGAAACGCTGTACATACAGATCCAAGGCACGATGACCACTTCAAATCACTGAAGTGTTTGGAGTAACCCTTTAAGCTTTAATATGCATTAAAGCAGCAAGAACACAACACCAAATATTATATAAATTATTTATTGAGTTAAATTGAAAAAAAATAAAAATACGAATTGTATAGATAATCATCTTTTAATTAGCATAGATTTAATGCATACTAAGAAAGCATGAAAACAAAAAAACAACAAGAATAGAGGAAAATTAGGAGAACGTTGGTATGATCACCAAGGACGTGATATAAAATGTTGAGTTATAGGACTCATAGAACAAATGATTTACAATGTTACATTGTACGTATCTTATATATTTTTTTTTTTTCAATTCTTTATTTTTTCTGTGCATGGAAATAACAAGCATGTGTAGTGTGCCACAACAGCACGCATATTATGTGTATCAATATTCACAATTTGGCACTATAGTACTGCACATTTTTTTTTTTTGTTGTTGTTGTTAACAGTTAGGTACATGCCATATACATTTATAAGCATAAGTTGATTGTCATTGTGATAGTGTATTGGGAGAGTAGCTTAATGCATGTTAGGTGTAGCCTGTTGTGTATGAGTGAATGGCATGTGTGTGGCCTGGCTGCCGTGGGTGAATCATGCTATGCCCCAGTGACGGGCTGCGTAGATGCGAGGAGGCATGTGGGGATATTGTGTGTGCTAAATGAAAAATATACTTCAGCTATCGATTAGGTATAACGTATGCCTGTATGGTTTGTGGATATATCAGGCGAGGTACATATTTCTAATACCAGGCATATGTGCTTGTATCATGAGAAGTGCTAAGCAGAACATAAATAAGGAGCATGGCTAACGAGCAAGAGCAGAGTAAATCGGTCAAGCAGTGCATATTACATTAGCAAGCTGAGGTAATAATAGACCTAGGAACGGTGCATTAGTTGTAGCCTGTACAGTGGGATTATGCTTTATCACCGCTCACGGGCTTGTAGGAGCATATTCCGTCTCCGGTGCAGTCCATCTTGATTAGCCAATGCCAGTTCTGGAGGCTTGACAGGTGGGCCAGGTACATTGGTAGAGTTGGTGCCACGGCTCTGCTCTGTCACCCGTAGGTCTTGGAGGGTCTCTCCGCCCGTGTCTGTCGCTGGTAGGGTGATGTGCTGCATTGCGGTGAGCCACTCGGCTGATAGTATAAGTTGCGCTTCGTTGGTCGAATGATTCTGGTGCCGCTGAGTGGTGAGTAGGTCGGGCAGGCTTGGTGGTCTCGCTCTGGTGTGTGTGAGGGCGAGTGCTGGAGTCTGGGGGGTATGACGCCATTTCCCGCCATTCCAGTCTCCAACCTTTTCTCTGTCTGGAGGCTCGGGGTGGGTATCTGCATAGGAGGCGTCGGGTAGCCGGGCGAATCCATGCCGCCATTTCCCTCAACACCAGGTGGTAGTGCTGGCCCTTGGTGCGGAATTTTGTCCCTATGTTGGCACAGAGCCTGTCAAAGAACTCCAGGGTGTGCTTGGGTGGTGTGGTGAGGGTGCTGTTTGTCGCCAGACGCGTCCGTGCCGCCATCTTGCTTGGGCCCACACAGTCCCTCTCGGCTGCAGGTTTAGTCGCTTGTTTGAGCCGCGTTGTTGGGGTAGTCGACCCCTGCGAGGACCGGGATAACCCCCGCCGGTCCAGATGGGGGGTAGCAGGGCAGTGTTCGATTGCTGTTTCTGAGCAGGTCCCGTGCCGGGAGATCGGCCGCTTCCCCCAGGCCTCAGGCTCCGCTCTGGTGAGGGCCGCGTGGCCGGTTCAGGTGCTTGTTTCATGTTTCGGTGCAGGACGGATACCTTTCTATTCCCCGTGTGGTCCTGTTTCGTTTTTTGGGTGTCTCGTGTAGCTGGCATTGTTTGGGTAGTCAGGATAGTCGTTTTTGTGCCTGCTGGTGCAAGAGCCCTCAGTAAGCACGTCTGGCCATCTTGGCTGTCAGGCCCCGCCCCCCGTATCTTATATTTTTATGTACCAAATGGATTCCCAGATTACCTTAGAGCAGTCCTCAAGACCCACCAACAGCTCTAGTTTTCTCAGTATTTAAATTAGAATATAAAAAGAAATACATAAATCCTGGATTGTTTATGGACCATGAAGACTAGTTTTGGAATCAGTGTCTAGGTGACTAACATCTGGTGCATATGACCAAAAATACATTTTATAAATAATCTGTGATGAAGTTCTTCAAAAAAAATATAATCTAAGTAAGTGTATGGCGCTTGCCAGAATTTTCAAAGGTTTATGATAAGGGTGTGAATAGGTACACCTGAACAATGAAAATCAAAACAAACAGAGTGCAACTTAACACAATGTAAAATACAATGTCTCTGGAGAAATTGAGAAAGACTCTTTGGAAGTTGAAACTCGTCTTATCTCTTATTTATTTTATTTCTTACTAGATACATGTTTTTATATTGATTTTATTTCTGTTCTTTTTTTTTGTGTGCATATAAATGTATTTAATCTTATTGATCTAGGTGCTGTTGATGCCTAACCCTCTTTGTGGATTCTCTACCTCAAGCTGGCTAAAGGTGGTTTCCATTTTCCGTCATAGGCACCATTAAGCGCATTACACAGAACCTGGCACAGTGAGTGCAACCATTGCTTGTGTATATATCTACTTCATATTTACAGTACACACTATGTGTTTAATTTTTTATTGTTACAGACTCTTTACATTGTGTTAAATCACACTGTGTTTGTTTTGAAGTTCTTTAAAAAGCCATAGTTTATATTGATAGCAGACACAAGCTTTATAAAGGGAAGGTTTTATTTATGTATTTGTAAAAAAAAAAAAAAAAGGATATATGTGTTATTACTCCGAATTAAATATTTTAGCCAGAAGTAATTTACAATTAGATTTAGGTCTATAGATGCTATATAGGTTATTTAAAGATCTGGGTCAGTATTGGTGTATAATTCCTGAAGTAGTCCCGATACTAAACAGTTATTCCAATCATCATAACCAATATAATGACTATGATGGTAGGAGTACCCAGGCCAGGTTACCTGGTAATGAGGCAAACCGTTCAACAATGATTTGCCCCTTACCTGGGTGCCACCAGGGTTCTGATCCTCCGTGTTAGTCCGGTGACACAGTTCTGCAGAAGTGGAAGGCATAGTCTGTGCCATTCAATGCCTGTGACTGTCAGCTGACCGTTCTAAGCCAATTGACAAAATGTACGTGTTTTTTTTTTTATACACAAATGTTCTTTTATAAGCAACTAAATCTAGTACCTCTAACTTACCAACTCTTATTAAATTTAGTTCTTTGGACATTCATTCAACAGGCAAACATTAACCCTAAATTCTTTACATTTGTTTCCTTTCCAAAAAAAAACAAACACATTCTGCTTTATAAATGTCAAATGCATCAGTTCAGAGTTTATATATCTACTCTATAACTGCGACTTACCAGGCACATGGACGTTCATTAAAACAAGTAAAGGAAAACAATGTATGATTTTATTTTTCATAAAACAAAAAAATTGCACTAACAATGAAATAATTAAATTGTGTTTTAAAACTTTGAGGATCTTGATTCCCAGTTGTGTGGGATTTTACTAAGGCACATGTGTACTGCACCTTTTATAATGTCACAAATATAAATGTTCTCAGATTCCATGAACATTGGTGTTGAAGATCCCCCCTTTTTTTACTTTTGGAAAATCCAGTTTAAATCTCTTGGTGCCAATTGGTGCACTTGATATTCAAGGATCATTATTTGTGGCATGCCTCTTCTTTACAATCCTATTGTGTGAGAGTGCAAGTTTTGTTCTGGTCTTTACTGCATTTATCTAAAAATTATTTGTTTTTGGTCTATATTTGAGCACATTGTTATGAAAAACTTCCAGTGCTCCAGTGTGACAGAAATTTTGAAGCTGTTCAAGATCTTTATTAAGTAATGGATCGTTCATGACACGAAGTAGACTTTCAAATAGGGCATCATCAATTTTCAACCACTTTGTTCTTCTTTCTTCAGCACCGCTAAGTGTTCCATGGGAGCAGGCATGATATTTCTTATTATTGTCCCACGTGTGCCTGTTGGTAACATGTTGTATTACAGATGCCCACTTTTCTCTTAGAAGTTCAACATCTGTTCCAGATGTTTGAGCACACCACCAGAAACGACTGATAATTGATTGTATCCATTCCTTTAGTGGTGCGGTTTTATTTGAAGAGCTTGCTTTAACCAATTTCTTCCGTATAGATTTTGTAGTGCCAGGTATCAATCTGGTGTATCAAGTGCGGGTATTGCTCACGCATAATTTTCTTGATGCGGACATGTCTGTCAGTGAGGACAACTTTAACTTCTATTGCTTCTTTAATTAACTTGTCTTAACATTCTGTAAAACATAATTTTTCTGAATCAACCAATGACTTTTGCCTACTTGCCTGCTGTATTTCAAATCTTACATTTTTTTCAGTAATGATATCCATCAAGGTATATATGCAGTAACCAGAATTGAGGTACTGCCCATAACAGGCTAAACATAGAGCCGTGTTACTTAATGCAATCCTTAAAGCTACACATTCCTTTTGCCACTGAAGATCAATAGAAGGGAATAAATATTTTTTCAGGTATGAGTTGTAGGTTGAATGTGTCATTTGTTTTAGTCCAAGAAGTTTGAACATACCATGTACCTTTCTAAAACTAAATCCACTACAAAGAATCGAAGAGCACAATAAAAGATTGCCAACTGGGACATTTTTTGTTCTTGGCTGACTTCTCCAAATTTCATTTTTGTGGCCAGATGTACATGTTCCAGTAACCGCCAGGTATGACCCAGTGATTGTGTTCTCTAAATGTCTAATAGGGGATAAGCAGCCATTTATGCAACTTGCAAGTTGATCAAGACAAGATTCAAAAACCAAGAACTTCCTCTCTGCAATCATATCTTTGTGGTTTTCCTCATCATTATATCCCTCTTGTAGACATGAATCTTCAGGAACTATGTCTGAATCTTCCATGTTTTTCTCATCTCCTGATTTTGATTTGGAAGTTAATTCTAAAAATGAAGCTTTAGTTTGATGATGCAAAGGTCTTTTAAGTGTGATGCGGTCTTCCAAATTTCCACTGTTCCATTTTACAGATTTGTAAGCAGACTGCGGTAAAAATGGTCCATACGAACTTTGCACTAAGTTCCTCAATTTTAATTTTCTCTGGTCTTTCATTTATTAATTCATGGTGAACTTCAAAACTTCTTGTAAAATACTTGTTTTCAGTCTGTGTTCCACATGTCTTCATGCCGTATTTTGGATTTGTAGATGTTGACGCATTCTTCATTCCAAATGTGCTAAAAGTTTGTCTTGCTGCGTGGACACATATTGCTAAATTTGGTGTCCCCGTGTACACCATAGAAGTTGTTGCTTCATCATATATATCATTTTTACATTGCTTCTTTGGAGTTCCAATATCTAGTTCTTCTGTTACTGCCAATGAATCTTCTTCACTGAAAATTATTGGAACTCCCTTTTCAGCACCACTTTACTACCTTTTGTTGTGTTGCTATCTGATGTAAAGTGAGCAGAACACAACCGGAATTGACCATTCTTTTTCCCTTCAAGGACCTTTTGTGCAAACATGTCTAAATCTCAAAAATTCTGTCTTGTTTGTTCTAGCCATAGTTTGATCCTTTCCAGTTTTCCAGGAATACCATGCAGGACAATGTTAGGATTTTTAAATGTGCTTCCTGCCCAATGTGGACAATTATTCACAATGCACTTAGGCATTTTTGATCTGGAAAAAATATGACAACAGTGATACATTATTAAAAATAAGAGTTAACATCTGAAAAAATGCATGCATTTATTTCCTCAAAAAGTGTGAATGCAGTGCATTCATTTATAAAACAGCTTCAATCTGCATATGTGTAGTGTTTGAATTCACGCATGATGTTTTTAATCTGGGAATCACTTAAACAATGGGTCACTGAGTTAATTATGCTGCTGAAGAATGGGCCACAAAGTCTATTTATCAAATATATAACATATTTAAACTTGGGTCTCTGAAAAACATGGTTAAGATATACAGTTATAATCAAAATTATTCAACCCCCATTGACAATCAGGGTTATTGTTAAAACTGTACATACTTTCAGCTGTTTGCAATGAACAAATCAAACAGGCGAAATTTAAAAAATTCCATCAAGGGCTGGTTGCAGAAGAAGTCCTGGAAAATTCTAAAGTGGCCATCACAGTTACCTGCCTTGAACCCCATAGAAAATTTCTATGGGCATTTGAAGAAGGTCGTTGCAGCAAGCAAACCCAAGAATATTACTGAACTGGAGGCCATTGCTAATGAGCAATGGGCTAAGATTCCCTTAGGAATGCTGCCAGAAGCTGGTGTCTGTCTATGCATCTCGTTTGCAGCAGGTCATAACAGCAGGGAGCTCTAATTTCGAGACTGGAGAAGTCATTATAGTTTCAGCTGAATTTGGGGAAACCACTTGAAGCATTCGTTGTCTTGAGCTATTTCAATTGCTTTTGTTTGATTTATGCCTTGCAAACAGCTGAAAGTCAGTAAATGTTGACAATAAAAACATGTGAAAAACAAAAAAACATTAAACAGGGAAACCTGGAGGAAAGGAGAACAATGATAAGAATAAAGTAGGCCCTAACCTTTTTTTTGTAACTTTAAAAAAAGAATGACTTGTAAAGAATCAATACAATGGATATCAAAGGGGTAAGTTCCCTATGAGAGGCTGTGGTAATCAGTCCCTAATGATAATAGGGGAGTCTATTCACAAGCTGCTACCTGATTTGAGGTAGATAACAACTGCAAATAAAGAGAGGGAGTCAAAAAAGCCAGCTCCCTTAGGAATAGTCAGAGTAAGGTTCCAGGGTTCATTAGGAAGCTGTTCACAAACCCACAAAAACTTGATAAAGCAGATAAGCCCCTAAAGCGAGTAAGCAGTGTGAATGCATATGTAAAAAAAGAGTGTATATTGGTTTGAAAAGTGTGCATTTAGGTTTCATTAAACCACTATAAATTCTGACACTTGCATAGCTCACAGAACAGCAGGTGAAGTATTACATTTATTGGTGGTAGACACATTAAGAAAGTGTACGTATATTATATATAAAAATCATAATCTATGCTATTCTTCACCGTAATAAAATGGGTCATAATACACGGATCACAGTTTAAAAACACTAATCTTGGGCAGAACCAGCATATACATGGACTGCCTGAAATTTGTGGGAGTTACAGTATCTGGTGGCAGCTGCCTCACATGACTGTAACGTCCTATTATGCTAAAATCTGGGGCAGAACCGGGATAAATATGTCACTGCTCTAATAGTAAAGAGATATCCCATAAACCCATTTGTTACACTTCACTAACTATTAACCCCTACACTAACCTATCATTGACTCCAATTTCAACCCTTATGCCCTAACCTAAACTTTGACACACTAATCCTAGCCTAAAAATACGATGTAGTACACTGAACAAAATTATAAACGCAACACTTTTGCTTTTGCCCCCATATTTTCATGAGCTGAACTCAAAGATCTAAAACTTTTTCTATGTACACAAAAGGCCTATTTCTCTCAAATATTGTTCACAAATCTGAACAATAGATATATAAATAATAGACAATATGAATAATGAGCATGTGAGTTGCTTGTCTATCTGCCCAATATCTTGTGGCACATCACCACCTCAGGCCATAGAGAAGGGAAGGCAAGGATGCTTAAGATACTATGTGAGATAGCTAATAATGTAACTGATAAATGTCCATACAGGGGGCTTATAATATGCACACAGGAAGAATGGACAACCTCATACAACTACCTGAACCACAATCTAACCTGGCCCAAAAACTGAATACCCAACCTTCATACGAACACCACTATAGCTTGAGGTATATGTGTTGATGAATCTACCCTAAACATCCCCTCCCCCCAAGCCCCACTCCCTTCTTAGTTTACTTTTGGTTTACACTGTTATTTTGCTTGAAGTTACTAAACGTGTTTCTTCTTAATGGTTGCATTTACGCAACAGGGCCCGAGCGCCCTATGGAGAAAGAAATTCGAAGTCAATAATATTACTGTACATTACTATCTTTGATGTAAATTGTTGTATCGCACAATTGACTTTGTAACGTTGCACCATATGCTTTGATTGTACAGTGTACCTTTGAAAACGCAAATAAAATATAAGTTAAAAAAAAAAGAAAAAAACACATTTTAGAGTGACCTTTTATTGTGGCCAGTCTAAGGCACACCTGTGCAAAAATCATGATGTCTAATCAGCATCTTGAAATGCCACACCTGTGAGGTGGATGGATTATCTTGGCAAAGGAGAAGTGCTCACTAACACAGATTTGTGAACAATATTTGAGAGAAGTGGGCCTTTTGTGTACATAGAAAAAGATCTTTGAGTTCAGCTCATGAAAAATGGGGGCAAAAACAAAAGTGTTGTGTTTATAATTTTGTTCAGTGTATATACAGGTACAAGACATGGGGAAAATAATGCCATCTTGACTTTCGGGTTTGTGGTTTATTATGATGACTGCAGAACTTTTGACTACATTAGTTTCCTATAGTACAAGAGGAAACATAGTACAACGGAAATCCTCCGTTACTTTGGTACTTGGAAAGGACTGCAGGTCAGCCTCCTTCCCACTGATTATGGGCCCTGGTCTGGAATGGGTTCTATTTTGGGGAGGAAGGTACATGCCTCCCCCTCCTGGTTTGGATTTGATACGTTGGGATATCCTTGCTTTACATGGGGACTCTTTTAAACTTGTTATGACTCTCCATTGCCCTCTGTTGGTAAAAATCGAAAGATGCATTGTTGGCATATCCAATCATTTTCAAATTGCAAATTAGGATATTGTAAAAACTGACATGCTGCATTGATATATCTCTGTTTTCCAATAGCTTGAAAAGTTGTAACTATTTTATATATGAGACAATATTATGTTGCTTGTTCTTCACATTACTTATGTTGTTTATATTTTCATGGTTGTAACCACACGTTTAAGGACTAGTCCCCAAAGGTTAGTCCTAGTCCCAGTATTGTATGTTATTTCTTTTTGGAACTGTGTGTCCTGTGTAGATTTGTTCAGAGATCCCAGCCACAGAGCCTTCGGACCTGTTGTCTGGTTGCACGATCCCTCGAGCATGGGACAGGTGAAAAAGTGAGCTAGGCCTGAGAGGTGCAAGTGCCTTTGTAAAGGCAAGAGCTATTCACAGTGCAGGCAGAAGAAAGGATACCTGCTTGGAAGGAGAGCCGCAGCCTGGTTGGGTGGAAGAGACCCCTGTCAAACTTTGGCAACTTGAGCTGAAGCGTTCCAGGGTGCCTAAGGCGGCTAGGAAGCAGACTTGGCGGAGGTACTCGGTCGGAGTACAGGAGCTCCACCACAATTAGGTATCCAATATAATTACATACTTATGGTTTAAACCTCCAGTACCCAAAACATTATTATTTTTCTATAATACAGTTAGTTATTTTATACAACTTTAAATTTTATTTATTTAGCGTTTTTTTATTTATTTTTCCAACGCAGTTGGTGTGCCAGAGATTGTCTATATCCTGCCATTCGATTTGCTATGAAATTAAATATACACAAACATTTTGTATCTGAATTTAAGGCATTTATGAGACTAGGGACAGTTAGGAGGAGGTGCACTGCACAGTGGCAAGAGGGGTGACTTACACCCTTCATACGCAAATACAGGCAGAAACTAGTCAATAGTAACTTTGCCACTGCACTGATGTTTTAAGCTAATGTGTTGCACACATATTTAAGTACTTAGCCTTGGATGGCAGTGGAGGAATAAATTATGATTGCTTACTCCATTAACATCAGTGGCATGTACATTCCAGTGCTGAACTAAGATTTCAGGACTCTACATTTTGAGATTTGTTGGGAATTCAAAATTAATTTAAAAATTTAAGGCCAAAGTAAAAACAGCATTGACTTAGATACTTTTTGTAATTTGGCTATTTTGTCCTAAATTCTTAAATTCTCTTTGAAGTCCTGGCAATTCTAACTTTACTGAATAACCCTGACTGTGCCCTATGTTGTTGTTTGTTCTTAAGATGTGACATTGTATGATGCAATATAGGACAAATAATAGCCAGAATAACTTTATTTTTTATTTACCGTGTAAATTATAGAATACATGACTATTTCATATATACTAATTACATAAATTGTTGTTTCATTTAATCTTTTCCCTACAGGATTATATTTATTTTTCTTTCCCAACTATATTTTCTTTTTTTTAGGGTTTATTGTGGATATGACATTAACCTTTTTTCTTTTCCTTTTTTTCCTTTTTAATCTCTTTATAGTCATTGCAAATGTTTCCTACAGCGCATTACTGTACTGACAAACTTAATGTAATGTTTCATGTTTCAGAATTTTTCCAATATATATCAGTTAGATATATAACTTTATTTTAATGAATGACCACTAATTTTTTTATTATATAATTCAATATATTTAAATTAAATAATATTTGTAAGAAAAGTTAAGTCTTATATATCACACTGTTAATACATTATTGACTGTTAAAACATTGACAAAAATGTATAACTGTTATATTTATTATTACTTAAAAAACAACAAAAATTTTTTTTAAAAGAAACAGTAGCCAGAATATGTATGTATGTGCATATATATATATATATATATATATATATATATATATATATATTGAATATAATTGTGTCTACAGCCTCTAATGGCTGTATATCTGAAAGTCATTTGTAGGCTTGAGCATTGCAAAATGTAAACGTCATTTTTCAGAAACACCACGGTTTTCATTTGCACGACTGTAGGTGCAGGATCTGTTCCCCTAAACCACTTGATTAAGATGAAGTGATATTGGTTTGTTGGCTTACACTGTTTGTTTTTTAAGATATCCCTACATTTGAGTAAGAGTAAAAGTAGAACAATTTTACCTCCAGCTATTTTTCTTTTTACCCTCCGCTATTTCATCTGAAGTCTTGTCATCCTTTTTTTATATTGCTGTTCCTATTGACATGTATTGTTCTTGCCCACAGAATTCTGTGTATAAAAGAGACCTTCCATGGAAGCTGAGGCTTGAAGTTTCTTTCAAACACTCCTATTTTCAAACAATTGTAAGTAGAAATCCCTTCATATGCATACATTTTATTGTGACACATACATTTATCAAATATCCCTGGGTATATGCAAGCATGCTTTGACAAACTTCCACACACAAACATGCTTTGTGATACATGTGTGATACATGTGTGTGTATATATATTTGGTGGTGTGCCGGAACCGACGATGAGGTAGGCCTGAGAAAGAAGAGGGCCTACCCAGGGAAAGAAAAATAGAAAATAAATGTTAAAGTGTGGTGTGGTGGGAGGGTCATTCAACGCTGACCTCGAACGGTAAGGAGCAAGGTAAGGGGAGTGCCTTAAGTAGGCTAGGTGTAGCAAACCAGCACCTCTCACAAATCCAGGCAAAATTGCCTTAATACTTGTGTTAGGTGCTTATGATAGTACAGTGTGAAATACCATAAATAAATGTAGGATAATAAAAAGAGCAAGTCGGTTGTGGTGTGCTGGAACCGACGATGAGGTATGCCTGAAAAAGAAGAGGGCAAAAATTAAGTAATCAAATTTATTACAGACAACCAATACATATACATTTTATCAACCAGACATGTTTTTGAAAGCATCCCTTAAATCTTGTACTGGGTTCGGTATGTACCGTGAGTAAGCGGATGACTTCCAGCGCCCCAGTGTTTTGATAACATGAGTTGGGATGTTGACATTGGAGGCTGTGGACGCGGCTCCTATATGAAAGGAGTGCCCTGAGTATTTGGCTGCGTTGAGGCCCAGTTGTGTGAGCAAGGACCTGACGTAGGTCATGAAGGTTGTAGTGGTGAGTACTGCACCTTGTAGCTGTTGTAGTGGTTGTGAGGGCAGTAAAATATGATGCTGTATGTAGGCATCAAGAACCCTGACGGGACACCATCTGTTGTGCGTGGGATAGTACGGAATGTTTACGGGTATGTGCTGACTGGTTTTGGAGTGAGGTAAAGTCAGGATGTAATGATCCATATGTTTTTGTCAAGTGGGAATAGAGGAGGAAAGGAGTACTTTGGGTCGTGGAGGTTGTAGTGAATTCTCTAGGTCTTAGAAATCCATAGAAAGCTATGTATATTGCTGTTTTGATGATAGAATTTGTATTGGTGTCAAACGGTTGTAAGTCAAGCAGGTTAGACAATGCTTTAAAGATATGGTTATCTATGGGTAGCCTCTGGGCTGTATGTGTGGGTTCTGATTTCTGAATACCTCTGAGTATGGTCTTAATTTGGTGAGAGGCCATGAAACTGTTGTTATTTGGGTGTAAGATTAGCATGTGGTGTTGAATGCCAGTGAGATAGAGTTTGATGGTGTTATATGACATTTTAAGTTTAAGGTGGCAAAAGGAAGCAAACCCCAAAAAAGATGTCATAACAAATGGTTGCATGATGTTATGTTCCAGAAGGAATCTTTTGAATAGCGTGAAAGCCCTGTTGTATGTTTTGTGTGTATTGTATGAAAGTGCCAATTGGGACAGTGTCCTGCTATGCTGCATGATGGTTTCTAGTCCAGTATGAGTTGTTGAAATGTTGGAGTGATGGTGGCTGTGGGCGCAGCTGACGGGAGTGCTTGATGAAACGCCTGAAATTTAAAGCGAGACAAATTGTCAGCAGCTGTGTTACATACACCTGGAACATGGAAACAACATAGGAAAAATTATCACAAGCTGCCAACCAAGTGAATTTCCTCAGAAATCTCATGATCGTAAGGGATTTGGAACGACCTTTGTTGATGATGTGACAGGTTGCCTGGTTGTCTGAGTAACAACGCACTGGCATATTAGCCCATAAATGACCCCATGCTACGGCAGCCGCCACGATGGGATAGATCTCAAAGAGATCTGAGGTAGTAGAAAAACCTTCCAAATCCTGAACTGCTGAAGGCCAGCTGCCCCAAAGCCATTCGTTCCCAAAAATTGCTGCAAAACCAGTGGTAGATGCTGCATCTGACCAAATGGTAGGAGATGAGTCAGTCAATTGAGGGAGGAACATACTTTTATCATTCCAAGTGGTTAAAAATCTCTTCCACATGTTTAGATCTGCCGTAGCTTGGGTATCTAAGGACAAACTATGCGTGTCATGTAGGAAATGTGGGAAAAGATGCAATAGTCGTGATATACAGGAGCGGCCTTGATGTATGATGCGCATAGCAAAATTTAGTGACCCCAGCAGGGACTGTGCAAGTACTGAGCTGAAGGTAGCTGTTTATGTAAGTGAGAATATTCTCTATCTTATCGTGTGGTAGGCTCGCTTGCATTGTGGCGGAGTCTAGTTGGATACCCAGAAAAGTGATAACCGTGTCTGGCCCCTCTGTTTTCTTTGGGGAGATAGGTACACCTAGTTGCTCAAATAGATTAGTGGTAGCTTTGAGACTAGTAGGAGGTGAAGTATTCTCCTCGATCAGTAGGAAATCGTCCAGGTAATGTAATACCGTAGGGCATCTGGCTATGTTCAATAGTAACCAGCATAATGCTTCGGCAAATGTGTCGAAAATAGCTGGGCTACTTTTGGACACAAAAGTTAACCGGGAGAAAAAAATAGTAGTTCCCGGACCACTTGATGCCATGCAGGTGCCACAGTGTGGGGTGGATTGGTAGTAATTTAAAGGCGATAGTAATGTCGGTCTTACTGAGCCAGGCTCCAACCCCTGCTTGTATGATAGCGGTAATGGCGTGATCTATGGTGGTGTATTGCAAAGAGAATTCCTCAGAGGGTATGAGGGAATTAAGACTGGGGTTGGCCAATGAGTGGGGTGCCGATAAGTCAATGATGAGTCTCTGTTTTTGGGAAGATTTCCCTGTGACAATACCAATGGGGTTGGTGCACCATTCTATGAATGGAGGAGTTTTGAAAGGCCTCAATACGAAACCCTCATCTACTTCTTGGGCTATGAGGGTGTCAACCGCTGTGGGGTTGTGTTGGGCGGATTGTAGATTAGAGTATTCCAGAGTTCCGGCTGGTATGTGTAGGATACCTGTATGGAAGCCTTCTGTTAAACCAGAGATGAGTAAGTCTACTAGGTGTCTAGATGGGTGCTGAGACATAAATGCCGTGAATACTGGCATATTAATGGACGTTAGGTAAGGCTTGGAATAAATTTTATTTCGACACATGGTCTTTGCATGTGCCCTAAAACATTTTGAACAGACATGCAATAGTCTACATCCACTGTAATTACAAGACCCAACATTGAAATTATTACATATCTGGGACTTGCCCAGAAACTTGATTGGGCGTCCCAGTTTGTCTCTTGACAACTTCTCTGGAACCCCAGAGGAACTAGCTCCTTGCGTGGAGGCATGTTCGTCCGCCGTGTTGGGACAAAAATTTGTAGTATGGGCTGTGGAGGAGCAGTATGCACAAGCTGGTGTTCTTAGACCTGCAAAGTGTCTGCAAAAAATGACGGTATCAATCCTTCCCCAGTTGGATCGTGTTCCGTACTGGGAGAAGGCTCCAGACACTTTTGCAGAAAAAGACCTATGGTAGTCATAGAAGGCTGAACCACTATATTTGTTGCCCAGGTCTACCAGCTTGTGCATATAGAGATCAAACTCCTCTCTTCTGTTGGGATAAACCGCACAGATGACATCCCTGTAAATACCAAAAGCTAGTACAAATTCAGGGATAGTCAGTTTCCTGTTCAGGCGGGCATCCCTAGATCTGACAACAACAGATACATCATCATAAGCATACGTCTTATTCTCAACAATATCCTGGGAGGCAATCAACAGGGAAGCCAGGTTGACGTCTTAACTTTCCAGGATATCCCTTTTTATGTGCTCAGGTATCATATGAGCCGGGCTAACTTCCTGGTCATCCAGGGTGATGGCTGGAGCAACTAATGGCAAGTCGGCTGGTGCTTGTGAAGCAGCAGCGGGTGGCCCTGCTAGAGTAAGGGCCGTGGTGACCGACTCAAGTTTCTCCAGCCTGGAGTTGACCTTGCTCATGGACGCCATGAGTGAGGATAACATGGCATGTATGTCTCCTGGGTTGGACTGGCTAGGTCCTAACCCGGCATCCATGTTATTTGTAGATGTGCGTAGCAGTTTTAAAAGTTCTGCTTTCCTTGCCATAGCGGGGTAGGGGATTTGTCGTCTCCTCAATTCTGTGGTTATACGCGGGATCGTCCAGGATCTGATCGATATTGGACTAGCTAGCTCTCCTCCTTGTGTGGGAGTGACAGCTCTAGCCGGGGTGCTAGGCAGGGAGAAATCCTCTACCCCTTCCTGAGCATACTATAAATAAAACAATTAGTATATGAAACCACCAAATTGTACTGGCAGGCTAGCTAGGCCGGATGGCGAAACATTATACTTGTTTGGTAAAGATGAGGCCCTGCTAATTGCTGGCTTGAGAGGCTCTATCTATGCGTTGGCGCGAGGAGTTATTGAGGCCACTCGTCGTAGTGGCAGGAGTTTTAGGCCTCTCGGTGACTGTAAGACAGAAAACAGGAGAAGGGAGTGACAGGTGAGGCCCTCTCTATGTAACATGCGAGGCGGCTAGCTAACGTGTGGCCCGATGGGTGTTTGCCTCTGAAACGTTTGAGGCGGGGTGTTGGCCTCGCGGGACCACTAACTGATGGCGACTGCCAAGACGGGGTAAATACCTATTGGGAAGCCTGTGACCCTATTGCCAGTACTCTAACCTAAGGGGACGGAATGAAATGTATGGTAGAATACCATATGAGCAGGTGTACATACCTGGTAGTATAACAAATTCACAGGAAAACCGTGTGGAGCAAATATATATATATAAGCTTGAGAGCCTGAAATGGGTAAAAGAGAGTAGTATGATGAGTGTGGATTGTTGGAAAAAAACAGGCTTATAGCCTGTAGCAGCAATGTTTTTATGGTTTGCTGGCGTATGATTGAAAATAAAATGTTGATACCATGGGAATAGATATGAGTTACTCAGAAATGTTGTCATGGCTTAAATAAGACATCTGAGGGGGTCGTGGCCTATGTACTAACAACATATGTGTATATATAATAATGGTGTGTAAGGAAAACATAAAATGTAGGTTATATATATATATGTATTACTGTGCAGGAAACGTATGATTGGTTGGATCAGTACGTGTGATTCAACCCGAGTATGCATGAAAAGGAATTAATGCCTTATGTGTCATGGTCATAACAAAGAAATGAGGCCTGATGGATAATTTACGAAAAACTCCTGTAAGCGTGGGAGTCCAATGATCCACACAGAAATGTTAGCTGGTTTCATGCCCTTGATGTAATAAGTGATACCTTAAAATAGCAATGAAAATGGTCTGTCTATTTAAACTAGCAACTATTTAACCAAATGTATATACATGAAATGATGAAATGTAACTCATGAAACAGGCATGAATAGCTTAAACGTATGCACTTTAATGCGAACAGCAATCTTGCATGAATATAACATGAATAAGTGCCGAACGGAAAACACAACCGAAATGATAATCGTTTAAATGAAGCAAGGGAAAACAGTTGTGCGAGCTGATCACTTCTCTAATATGCATGAATCTAACCGAACAATTTGTACGAAATGAAGCCGCGCGAAAGGCTATGTAATGCGACTGTGCAGAAATACTGTAAAGCGAGGACCCGTGCTGTACCATGCGCCGTGGGAACCGGTCCTGGCGTGACAGATAGGTCTGACTTACGGTTTAGGAGTCCCTGGGACGCGATCTACGACGATGACCAGGGTAAGAAGAAGTTGGACGGACGGAAAAGGCCTGAACAGGATTCCTGGACACAGCTTGCCGCGGTAAAATCTAGTGGATACTGAAAAACCAAGATGGCGTCTGAGAGAACCCGGAAGTAGATCCTCATTCAACGCTGACCTCGAACGGTAAGGAGCAAGGTAAGGGGAGTGCCTTAAGTAGGCTAGGGGTAGCAAACCAGCACCTCCCACAAATCCAGGCAAAATTGCCTTAATACATATATATATATATATATACACAGACACTGTTACGCTACTTGGGTGACTTGGATTGGAACTCAACTGCAGCTTGTAAAACTCCCTAATTACAATAGTGAAGAAACGGAGAAACTTTAAAGTATCAATACTGTAGCTTTAAGAAAAGAGAGAATTGCTGGTAACTTGATTCAAAAGAAGTTTTAATAAGTGTTAAACTTAAATGAATTGCATTTAGGCAATAATCCAATAAAAGGAAGTGCAAGTAATCAACAACACAAAGTTCATTAATAAGTATTTCCTCAAAGATGCATTAAGTAACATTCTTTAGGTTAATGAGAATAATCTTCAATAGTAACTTTAAGCAAGTAGCTGAGAATATTTGCAAAGCAGGAACAGTTTATAGTTAATAAGCATGATGGGAGATGTCCTTCATATAATTAGTAGCTTGAAGCACAGTGTATTTGCAAAGCAAGAAACAGTTCATTGTGAATAAGCATGATGGGAGTTGTCCTCCATATAATTAGTAGCTTGAAGCAGTGAAGATTTAGTAAGCAAGCATTAGTTCATTATTAAATGATATTGTAGACAAATAGCTGAAAGATATACTTAAGGTTAATGTGAGTAGTCCTCCAATAGTTCAGAGGTATGGTCCACTTGTAAAGTAAGTGAGTTTCTGTTCTCCAGTAATCCTCTATGGTATGAAGTATACTATTCTTAGCCCAGAAGGCTAGGACGACATCAGAGCTTGTAGAGCCGGCGTGTCCCAGGAGCCGGAGTGCATGCTCGGAAGTAGGACCCACATTGCCAGAGCCTGTGGAGAAGTCTGACGGAAGTAGCTCCCAGTATCACCAAGCCCCCTCTCTCTGGCGCGGTCTCCCTAAATACCGCCAGAGCTGCGTCAGATGGGGGCGGGGTCCGGCTCCGCACAGCGGAGTGCCGAACCAGGAAGTGTTACCGCATGACACACACACACGTATCTCAAAGCATGTTTATGTGTGGAAGTTTGTCACTCGTCCGACGTCAGAGCTGAATGCGCATTCGCGGTAAGAGCCGCGCGCGCATTCAATCAGTCCATAGAAAAGCATTACTCAAAGCTTTCCTATGGACGGCAGCGTCTTCTCACTGGGATTTTCACAGTGTGAAGCACGGCAGCGCCTCTAGCAGCTGTCAATGAGACAGCCACTAGAGGCTGGATTAACCCTATTGTAAGTTTACAGCTGCAGGGTTAACCCTAGATGGACCTGGCACCCAAACCACTTAATTAAGCTGCAGTGGTCTGGGTGCATATAGTGGTCCTTTAAGTCAGCCTCTATTGGCCAGTAGAGGGCTTCCTGGTTTGAAATGGACCTTTGATCCGGGAAACGTCCTCACGACCTGCATGAGGACATTCAGCGTCAGATTTGTCCCCCTAGGAAAGCATTGATACCTCCTATGGGGAGGTCTAATGTGCTTGTCGCGAGAAGGAGCTTTGACCCAGCACCGAGGGACATCGGCGCTGGGATCAGGTAAGTAAATTAAGTTTTTTTTTAACCCTTTATTTACCAAGGATCGATAGTGCCCTAATACAGCTTTGTATCCCTGGCAATATAGTATCCCTTTAACCCAAACCAAAACTGCAGGATGTTCCATGTCATTTCAACAGCGTTTTTAAAACCCACTCTGTGGGGGGCAGCGTGGAATGTCCTAACATCGGGGAGGGCTTAACATCAGTTCAGGTTCCCAAAAAGCTTCGCTTGGGATTCTATAACAATATTTTTCAATACAAAATAGTAATTGAAAATTAGAAGATATGATTTAATATTTAACATTAACGCACACGCACGGTTTGGAGTCAAAAGTCTTTTAACCAATTAAAGCACAGAGAGGCATATTTAAACCCTGAATAGCCTTTTCGCGGACATATCCATGGCAGCACTACAGATGGGCATAGCTCCTCCCACTCTTAGATTGGACAGGAACACCTCCTAATTAAATGAATAAAAGAGAGGTCCCTCCCTTAAGTCCCCAGTCTTTTTTTCCTGTCCACTCACATGGACATAGGATTTATATCACTTCCTTTTTTATTTTGTGGCTTACTTGGGGTTTATATTACCCCTGCCCATGAGGAGTTCAGCCTCTCTCATGGAAGCCTCAGGACACAGCACCTCACTAGGGGCGACCCCCTGAAGGACTCTCCCCTTAGCAAATGGGGAGTTATGCTGCAGTGATCCTACAGGTAGCAGCTGGACGTGTCAGTGACAGTAAGGTGATAATTCCCAGGTAAGGGTCCACCTATTACAGTAATGCCTTGAGGCTATTCTCATAGCCTCCTTCTTTTAATCTCCTCCCTGGTCTGCCTTACCTCTCCTGGTTTCCTTAGTTGCCTTGTGGAGCCTCTGATTAGGATCCCCCGTCTGAATCAAGAGGCATATGGAAGGTTAGCCGTTTTGCCGCTGTAAAGCATCTCTTCAGGTTGTTTACTTCCTTATCTCTCTTTTCTTTCCGGCGGTGGAACACAAGTGGAACGCACGCCGGGGGCGGGGTCTATAAGTTCCTTTTAAAACCCAGAATATGAGCAACATTCTGCAGTTCCTACAGGATGGATTTGATAAAGGTTTAAGTGTGAGTTCTTTAAGAGTGCAGATTTCCGCGCTCTCTACTTCTTTTAGACAAGAAGCTGGCCTTTGATCCTGATGTTAGCAGATTTTTCCAAGCAATTCTGAAAATCCGTCCTCCAATTAAATCCTCTTCTCCACCCTGGGATCTGCCTCTGGTTCTTCAGGCTTTATTCATTCCTTCCTTTGAGCATCTGGAAGATATTTCTATGGCTACATTGATTTTAAAAACTGTTCTTTTGGTGGTTCTTACTTCAGGGCGAAGGATTTCCGAACTTCAAGCTCTCTCATGTGAACCTCCTTTCCTGATTTTTTAAGACGATAGAATCATTTTAAGGACAATTCCAGCGTTTCGTCCTAAAGTTATTTCTTCCTTCCACATAAATCAAGACATTTTTCTTCCTGACTTTTTTTCCAATCCTTCAACAGAAACAGAGGAAAAATGCCATTGCCTGGATTTAGTGCGTTATTTATCTTCTTACGTACAACGTTCTTCTGCGATCAGACTTTTTGTTATTCCATCAGGTCACAAGCTGGGACAAGCGGCTTTCACCTCTTCCATTTGATTGTATCAGCCATTTCCCAGGCATCTGGAGTTCCTATCCCATTGGGTCTTCGGGCTCACTGTATTAGAGCTCTATCCTCCTCTTGGGCAGCTGCAGCTAATGTTTCCCCTGACCGAATTTGTTCAGCAGCAACCTGGAGGTTCTTTAATACATTTATTCACCACTACCGATTGGATGTTGCCAGAGCTTCTAGTTCTGTCTTTGGTAGAAGTGTTCTTTCTTCGTTTTATAATAAAATTTTCTTTTGCATTCGAAATATTGGCTGGTTTTAGATTTTTTCCCTTCCCTTTTCTCTTTAGCTTGGGTATTACCCATCTGTAGTGCTACCATGGAT